GGAACAGGAAGGTGCCCAGGCCAATCAGCAGAAAACCTGCCATCATAAATCCAAATAGGTACAAATCTTCCACATCCTCCACGGAAAGCGCGGACAGGCACACGATCTTCCATCTGTCCCAGGAATCCAATGTGTACCCGGCCGGGAAGGTTCCGTCAGGGCAGGCGGGTTCTCCTTTACCCATTCTCATGGTTGAGAAAATTTGATCTATTGCGTTGAAAGACCAGTTGACCAGATCCATCATTTTGATTTTCGAGGAAAATGCAGAGAGAGGCTCCGAGATAGTTTGACAGAGACGTTACAAGACAAGACACAGAGCAGTAGCAGGGAAGGTAAGGGCAGGGAGGGAGCAGAGGGAAAAGCACCGTCAAAGAAAGTTGATTTCCTTTAGCAGCTGGTATTTAATCCATGTTTTGTCCAAGAGGCTTCTTCAGTTCTAACTGACTGCTGGGAAAATTCTGGTGTTTAACCTCTGAGAGGCTGAACACCTGAAGGAGAGGGTCGTTGGAGAGAACAAGGGGGTTGAACACACNAGGAATGCGGTGGTCACAAGGGTTGAAGTGTGGGTGAGAGGGTTGTTAGAGTCACTGGGTCACTGAAGAAGCCTATTGGATGAGAGGAGGAACATCTTTAGAAAAACCTGAAGTCCAGTGTCCCTTGATGGAACTATAGTGGGACATCTAGATACCAGTTTAATCTGTTCCACAACAGCACCCGTCTGTCGATCCACTCGTATCTAGATCGACTTTTTATACTATTTATTAATTAAATTAACCCCACATCTAAACATCAAAAACACAGACATAAACAAACATATGGACAAAGTAAAATAATAATAATTAAGAAAACTTCTTCTTTCTTCTTTTTCTTTTGGCTTTGTTCCTTTTTTCAGGGGTTGCCTGTCATGTCTGACTGTTTCAGTGTTTTCCTGTGTTCTTTGTGGGGTAATCTGTGGGATCACACTCGCCTGTTGTTAATTAGCTTCACTTGTGTCACCTGGTGTTCCCTGTGTATATATACCCCTCTCCCTCACTCTGTCGGGGTTGGATCATTGTGATTGTGTGTTTTTGGATCATTGTGTTAGATCTTCGTGTTTGTGAGTTTCCTACTCTGTGTTTCCTCGTGTTCCGTGTTTCCGTGTTTCCTCGTGTTCCAAAGAGAATTTCATGCCTGTTATTTCTTCGTGTTTTGTTAATTTGGACTCTGTAAATAAAACTACCTGCACCAGAAAGAGTCTCACCAGTACTGCATTTGGGTCCTGCCTGCGTCCTGCGTTGCCCACACGTGACATTGCCACAGCGAATCATTGATTTAGAAGTACCTAAACTCCTGCACCTTCACCACCTCTGCTCCTTGTAGCCTCACTATTTCACTGTTCTCCCTTTCGTTTACACACATGTACTCTGTCTTGCTGCGACTGACCTTCATTCCTCTTCTTTCTAGTGCAAACCTCCACCTCTCTAGGTTCTCTTCCAGCTGCTGCCTACTCTCACTACAGATCACAATGTCATCTGCAAACAACATAGTCCATGGGGACTCCTGTCTGACCTCATCTGTCAATCTGTCCATCACCAAAGCAAACAAGAAGGGGCTCAGGGCTGATCCTTGATGTAGTCCCACCTCCACCTTGAAATCTTCTGTCCTCCCAACAGCACACCTCACTACTGTTGTACTTCTCTGCCACTCCTGACTTCCTCATACAAAACCACAATTCCTCCCTTGGCACTTTGTCATATGCCTTTTCTAAATCTACAAATACACAACAACTACTACTCTTCACCAAATCTTCGAGTATCCGAATGAACCTAGGAACAACGTTGTCGGGGCTCAATGACCCTGGTAGGTCCTCCCAAGGCAAACAGGTCCTAGGCGACGGATTAGACAAATAGTGGTTCAACCCCCCCGATGAAGAAAACAATAAAATCAAAGAGGTTCATGTCGCCAGGTTTGACGTCACCGGGGCCCCACCCTAGAGCCAGGCCCGGGGTTGGGGCTTGCAGGCGAGTGCCTGGTGGCCGGGTCCTTGCTCACAGGGCTCAGCCCAAACAAGCGACGTGAGCCCGCTTTTCAGTGGGCCCACCACCCGCAGGAAGGCCCACAAGGGGCCGGTGCCTTGTGATTTGGGTGGTGATTGTGGGCGGAGACCCCGACGGCCCAATCCCTGGACAACCACTCTGGCTATGGGGACATGGAATGTCACCTTGCTGTGCGGGAGGTTAAGCGATA